GCTCTCCTGTCTCATCCCCCAAATATCCCTGTGGGAAAGGAGCCTTCAGGTTGGAGCCATCTTCATGCACGCAGCTTGGGTGCATTTCACTGCTTTCAAAGCATGTTAGACCATGGAGAAAACAAAAGCAGAGCCATGTGTAAGCTACTGGATCTCAAGACTTATACACAAAAGAGTCCAAATCAAGGCTATGCGAGCAACTTCCTAACTCCCGAGCAATTGCAATTTGATCACTTGTTCAAGGAACCTGTTCTATGTAACCTTCAACCCACACCTCACACCCTCATATAAGTTAGCAAGATATTTGAGAGCAATAGGGAGCATTTTCAGTGACCTTGCTGAGGAAACTGAGAAAGCTGGGGAAAGAACTACAGCTCCCACATGGAGCTGTAGTTCCACATGGGAGGATGCATGTGCCCAGAGCAGCAGGTCTTTCCTCAAGCCAGTAACACAAGCTCCCATGCAGTCCCCTGCAAATCAGTAGCTTGCACCCTGCAAGTCCCTACATATGTCTCCAAATTGAGATTCTGCTTACCTGCTCGTACACTTCCAACAGGGAAGAAAAGCCAGGAAGCAAGACTTGCAGCAAGGCATGCAGGGCGATTTCACTGAATTTTTAGAGTTGGAAGGGACCACAGAGATCATCTAGTCCAACTCCCCTGCTGAAGCAGGATTGCCCAGAGCTTGTCAGAGCATGTTACTCAGGAGCATCCAGGCGGGTCTTGAAAATCTCCAAAGAAGGGGACTCCACACCCTCCCTGGGCAGCCTGCTCCAGGGCTCTGTCACCCCCACCGTGAAGAAGTTTTTTCTCATATTTGAGTGGAACCTCTGATGTTCCAACTTCTGCCTGTTGCCCCTTGTCCTCTCACTGGCAACCACTGAAAAGAGTCTGGCTCCCTCCTCCTTCAACCCCCCCTTTAGATACTTATAAGCATTGATAAGGTGCTTCACAGACAAGGGTACAGTCCCCCGAGACTCAAGGAAGGTGAGCAGGGCAGATCTGGTGACAGTAAACAGGGTCACCAATAGTCTGGTGATCATCCAGCAAGTCCCACTCTCCAAGTGGTGAGGCACGTCCAAGGCCCAGCCAGAAAATCAAATCAGTGGGCCAGGACCGTTGTCAGCAGCAGGGAGGTACAAGACCAGGTGTACTTCCAGCTTAGGCCAGGCAGAGACTAAGGGCCTGAGCTTAAAAGCAGCTCCCCAGCAAAAGCTCTTGCTGAGGTTCCCCAAGGACAGACCGTGGCATCATCTGAGTTGTCCCTGACCCCAGAGAGCAAACCCACAGGAAGAGGAGAGTGTACTCAGACCCTGACAACTTACTCCACTCTGCTTTATTTTGTCTCCTGAGACCTTACAGTAAAGTAAGGTAGAAATTAATTTGTCAAATTGTAAAGCAAAGATCCAGAGAAGAAATCTTGAAGCACTGGAGGAAAAAAAAAAGGTTGCAAGCAAATTAAAGCAAATATTGTGCTACTGTACCCTAGTGCATACATTTAACAAGGCACAGATTAAGAGCTCCTGTGTCCACCATCCTTGCAGGATGGTGAGGGTCCATCCTGTTGATGGAAGGGTGAGGGTCCAGGCTGCACATGATAACTCTACCACCCCTTACACCTCCAGGGTTTTCCCCAGTTTCTGCATCCTGTCTAGTGGAAATGCAGTTTCCATGGCTTCCACTTGAGGCTCAGACCTCCACTGTTCAGTACGCTGCTCCCCGGGCGTTTCTCCCTCCCCACACGCCTTCTCCACAGGGAGCCATTCTATTCCATTTTATCCAGCTCCATCCCCCACTTGCAAGCAGTGGGTATGTTCCCTTAACGTGCCTGAAGATATGCCGTCCAACACACTAGGTACATAAGAAATATTAATTACATGTGCAATTTGTAAAGATCCTGGTCTCACTGCACTCTCAGCTGTTGACAGAACCATAGAATCACAGAATGGTTTGGGTTGGAAGGGACCTTAAAGATCATCCAGCCCCACCCCCTGCCATGGGCAGGGACACCTCTCACTAGACCAGGTTGCTCAAAGCCCCATCCGGGTCCAGAAATATCTCAGGACCTTGCTGTATACATTATCAGACATTGTGCTAAAAAAGAGAGTCTCAGGAAGACACCTGCTCTCTCCCTTCTGTTTTGTACTTGCTGGGTCGTAGCACCATGTTCAGCCTCAGCACTTGGTCCCGAGTCTCACCAGGCTGGGCCATGAGTACTGAATTCAAGTCCAGTCTCTGCAAGCAGTGCCCTTAAGCAATTACAGACCAGCGTGTCCCATCTCCTCCATCACATCACTGCCTGAGATGTCCCGCCTTCCTCAGTCTGTCTTTGCTTCCCACCCCTCTTCTTGTCTGTTTTCCACACTACAACTGCTGAGCCGTCGCCTTCCTCTTCTTCTCTATTCCTTACTGTGGAGATATGAGCACGGAAAAGTCAGTTTGCCCGCATTTCTGGAGCCAGTAGGCAAGACTGGAAAGTGTCCTGCCCAACACTTGACACTTGGGACACACTGTCTATGGTACATGACCTGTCTGGTCAGCACAGAGGATCTGCCATAACTTCAAACAGCTCAGCATGGGCAGAGGCTTCCTGGGAGAAAACTATCAGCCTCTAAAAATGTCTTTGCTTGGTACATGCAAAATGGGATCCTCACAGGTGGGAATTCAGGAAGAGTTGATCCTGTGCTACTGGACAGAAGAAGAAACATTCAGGCCAGCTCGCCTTCCCCCACTGTGACCTGCTCCTCCAAGGTGGGGAGTCTGGAGCATATTCCTGGTACACAGGCTGTTGGTTAAGTAGAGGCCAATTAATTTTTGCTGTATCTGTAATGAGAAAAGTTCAGCCTGAGACAGGCACACAGCATGGCAAACCACAACTGCAACAGTTAAAGTTTAATAACTGACTGGCAAATGAAAGCAGGTCTTTCTAATGGAAACTGCTATGCAACCTTAACTTTATGCCTCTACCTGCTCCACTTACGATCTTTACACAGAATCTAGCACAACAGGACTAAATCTAGTCATGGCCTCTAGGCATTCCTGCACTATAGCTACTAAGCATATTAAAAGCAAGGGTAATGTTGCAAAATTATTTACTCAAAGTTTGGAAAGTCTAGAGAATGGGCTGCTGTGGCTGTGACACTGTGTTAACAGAAGCTGGGCTGGTACCAGGCTCAGATTCTATTACTGGACTACACCACAAGTGGTCCAATAGGAACCAACCCTGGCTTGAGCCACCAGGCTCCACAGGCATGCTCAGCCTGGGGGGTGACAGCAAATGTGCAAGTCCTGCCCCAGCAGGTACCCTGGGCGCAAGGAGATCCCAGGTGGTTCCAGCTGGGCTCTGAAAATACAGTCTCACGGGCTTTTGCCTCACTCTTGAGTTGCCCCACATAAGTCTCTCTTCAGCTTCCTACAGCGAAACTTGTCTGCAGCAGCAGAGGAGGCACCCTTCCATGGCTGGGGAACATAATTTAGAACTAGCCCTAGCAAAACTGTAGCTGGAGCAGTAAGAATCCGGGATCCTCATTAATAGTAGAGAGAGCATTCCCAGGTGCATAGTTTTGCTGCTGACAAGATCTCAGATCAGAAAAAGGCTACTTCCAAGGACCTGTCCCAAGCCAGGATTTCTGAAACTTAACTTACTTCCAAGGACCTGTCCCAAGCCAGGATTTCTGAAACTGGGAGAGACTATAACTTAAAGAGAGGAAAACTTGGAGTGGTCCATCCTAGGACCTAAGGGCAGAGCTGGCGTTCTAGAGCAACACCACATTTTTGCTAAGCCTTGCACAAGACCAGCAGCAGTGGTGGCCTGTCCTGTGTACCAACCCTTGTGACCTCTGCGGGTCAGCAGAGAGCTTAGAAACAGCCCCAAAGCTGGGTTTCCCTGATCCGAAAACTGCTCATTTTCCCGGACTGACAAGCAAAGGCTGTTCCTTCGTGCCAGTCTTTAACAACTCTAGAGCAGTGCCAGATGGAGGACAGACCTCCAGGTAACACCCTCTCTGTATCACTGCTCTTTGATTACTGATAAATGGCTCTGAATAAGGTCTTGTGACTAGTTATGCTCTCACCTCATAGTAGCTCACTCTATGTTATCTTTTCTTAATTTCATTCTTACGTGAAAGAGCATGAAATCAAGACATTTAAGACACACAACATCTGCTCCTTCTGTCCCTTTCCCACGGGCCCTTTGGCCTGATACAGAAGGAAGCAGGATTGGTCTGACCAACTTTGCATGTGTCTAGGCACTTAGAAATTATTTAGTTATTTGCTTTAGGGTTTTCCAGGGGTCCAAGTAAGGCTGGCCAGGCATAGCACCAAATTTAAGAAGTCTTGGGCTACTATCAAACATGTGCTTGCATTTGGCCCAAGCCCACATGGCCCAGAATCCCGAGGGAGAGCCTTGGAGAGTGGAGGTGGGAGGGATGTGAGCAGCGTTGCTGACATCTGGTGATGAGCCAGAGGAAGGGAGGGGGCTGAGAGATCCCGTGTACCATTTCACCTGCAGAGCACATACCACAGGAGCATCAGCATCCGCTGTCAGAGCCTCTGGGTGGAAACAGGAGAGCAGGAAGCATTTAGAGCCCTGCTCGCAACAATGAAGTACCAGAAACATTCAGCAGCGGGAGAACTGCTTCAGGGCCAAATCAGCCATGGCACGAGTCCAGCCGAGCTCTGCAAGGGGCTGCAGGTTGGAGCAAACACTGAGGCTTCTATTGCCCTCAGCCAGAGGTCTCCTCAGGTGGGACCACTGCAAGGGTCTCAGGGCAGCCCAAAATCCTCACCTCAGGATGGTTAGAAGAGGTAGTTTGCCTTCATGTGTCACATCCAGCCCCAAGGTCACAGAACCACTACGATTCTGTGATTCTGTGAAGGTCCTTTGGCAACCCACAAACACTGCCTGATCCTGCAAGGGCAAAACCTGCTTGGTGCTTCCAAAGGGCAGAAGTCTCAAAGCTAAAGCTTGTCAGAGGCATTGAATAAGAGCAAACACTTAAGTTATAAAGTAGCATCACAATTTATTTCAGAATGTCTTTTTCAGAAATCAGTGCAGCCAGCAAGTTCAGAGCAAGGAAGTTGTCAGAGCCAGTACAAACCACCACTGGTGGTTCATCTCCACCAAAATGAAGGAAATTAGGGAAAGTTGGAGACATCAATGAAGTGAGCAGCGCTGTTAAGGGAAACATTAAGTTGTTTCATTACCCTGGGGCCAAATGCAGTCCCAACAGTGACAGAGGCCAGTGGTAGTGACAAGTGCAGAAGAGTGACAGACTATGGACCATAGATCTGTAATTAAGCAGTCCAAGGTCTTTGGGACATGTGCTAAGCACCATGCAGGATGAATTCTGGTCTGGACCAGGGCAGATCTTCCACTGATTTTTGAAAAAGCCAGAGACGAGAAATCTACATCCACCATGATAAGCTAGTCTAAGATGCAATTAATTAGTAGATTAATTACCCTTGCTTTTAAAAATGTATCTCATTTCTAATATGTTTGCCCAGCTTCAATTTGCAGCCACTGGATCTAGTTTTGCCTCCATGCACCACTCAGAAGAACTGGCAACGCTGAATAAACTCTGCAGCCTGCCCCTCAGAAAGCTCGGGGAGGCACAGACCAGTGAGGGGTGTCAGGGTGGGGAGGGAGGGTACGTGCAGCTCCTGTGCCCACAGTGCTCCATGGAAGAGTGCTGTCACCCTTCCTGCCCTGTAAATCTGGGACCAAAGAACAGGCGCCTTACAACTGCAGGACTCCAAGGATCAATGTCTATCCAACTACCCCTCCAACGTTCCCACTGCCAGGGATCACAGGCAATCCATAGCTCATTTACAGCTCTTCTCTGTACCCTCTCCAATTTCTCAGGTTTTTTTGCAATGTCGACCCCAGAGCAGGACACCCCAGCAGCAGAGAATCCAAAGAACTGTAGTCACTGGGTGCCTGCCCCAGGTTTCTGCCTGTAAACATACATTCTGCATAACAAATATTCCTGCTCCATATTTGAAACAACAATGGATAATATTCATATTTTACAGTGGTAATGAAATACTTTCTATTCCACAAGTAATTAAGGAAGATGCTAAAGAGAAACTGTTTAAGTAACAATTCTTGTAATCTGCGGAAGGATAACTTACATCCAAGAGTATTTAATTGACTAATGAGTTCACTGAACCATTGATTTTTTAATTTTATTTATAACAAATCATGGCACACTGGGAAACTTACGGGGGGGGGGGGAACAAAATGCAATGGCTTACCAGTATTTAAATGTGTTCACACAGGTATCCAAGAAACTACAGAGCAGTTAGTTACACACACATCCCCAGCAATCACAAACAAGCAGCCAAGGGATGTCCTGAGTAAATTACTAAAAGCTAGAACCCAAATTAATGTCATTCAAATTAATGTCATTTCAAAGAGGCACTTTCAAATACTTTTATGTAATTTTTGTAAGCCTACAAGTTTGATAGAGCTAACTAGATAGATATGGCATGCTTAGACTCCTGTAAGTCATTTGACTTAGTTCTGCATTACATTCTAATAAGAAAAATTAGCTTTATGCTACAATCAATGTGATCAGAATTAATAGATTTGAAAGAATTGGGTAACTGAGAAGACTTATTCTATATAACCATTTGATAGATATATTTCTAGTTGTAATCTATTCATGTATCAATGCTATATGATATTAGCAAGCAGGGAAAAAATTTAAAAAAGCAATTGCTGGTAAAATTATTGAGGTGGTTAAAAATGACTTGTTGCAATGGTACAAGTAACAGGTGGCACTTGCCCAAGACAACCTAATCTGGATCGCCTGAAACACCAGGTTCATGAAAAACCTGGTGTTTGTTACATCTAAGTATAAGGTGCAACATATAGGAAAGAAGAATGTGGGCTTCATTTTAAAACAGGGATGGCATCCCGGACACTAATGAGTCTGGAACACATGTAGAGGTAGCGACATGTGCCATCTGAACACAAAACGTGCTGAATGGGAGGGCATCACTGCCAAGGCCATCCTCCTCCTGGACTGTGTAAATAATCAGGTAATGTCAAATATGAATGTAGGGTTCCTCAGGCATTTGTGTAGATCTCACACCCACACAGCTAATAACTCTTACGTGATCATGGCACAACCACATTTTGAATGTTGTACACAATTCTCATCCCTTCATCTCAAAGTGATGCACTGGGGACAGTAAAGAGACAGGAAAAGCCTGCACTTACGGTTCAGAGTTGGGTGACAGCTTCCATGCAGAGAGTGACATAGTCCCATGGAATTACAGCCTGAGTAAGGAGAGAAGTGACAGGTATCTATATTGTTCTGAATAACATGATGAAGAGGAACAGACTGTAGTTGCCCACATATTCTTAGAATACAAGAGTTAAAGGGCATCAAATGAAACAAGAAGGTGACAGTATAAAGACAAATAAAAGAAGATTACCAACACGATGTGCAATTAAGTTATCCTTGCCACAAGGGTATCAGAATGCTCAAATATACATGGGTCCAAAAAGTGACTGATCAAATTTATGGAAGAAAAAAAATAATCTCTGACTGCTAAAAACAAAGATGCCCTTTTGACTCTAAAGTACCTGAAATGCAATGTACAGAGCTCTGAGGTGGGGACAGACATCCCAGGGAAAGGTTTTTCTCTACTTGCTTTGTCCTTATACCCTTCTATAAGTACCATTATGGTTTACTAGCCCACCCATTATGGTGTGTCACACTCTTTACTGAGGAACAGGAAAGATCAGGTAAGAGTCAAGCAGACACTCAAGGCTGGGTAGCCCTAAAGGGAGATACTGATGCAGTTGATCTTTCAGTTAAAGGAAGGGGATTCTAGGGACAGGCAATGCTTTGACTACACAGAGAGGGTCAGAGTAAGACCCTGTGCCTACAGCTTGGATGGAAACTTCTGTCTAGAAATGGGATGAATTTTTTTCCCCCCAAACCCATCCCTTGCACAGCCACACTGGGAGCGGGGCAGTGGACGTGCATTACTCAGCCAGTCAGTCAGGAGGGTGTCTCCTGCCGACTGCTGTGCCAAAAACACAAGGTGGATGTTGAGGCAGAAACAGTAGCATGTGCCCAAGAGACATTCCCAGCTGCCTGTGCCCGTTGCAGTTGGTAAAAACACACCAGAACCATGTGTCCCTGTGCTAATACTGTCACATGGTCGCTGTCCTCAGTTGAGACCCGCATGGTCAGGACAGCTAAACTTCCCTGGTATAACTCCTGTCCCAGCAAGTACATTCAACGCTGCATTAGAAATTTCCCTTTTAGAAACCTGAGGAAAAGCAGCAAGACATGTTATATTGCCAAAATGTGCTCTTGAACATCACACCTTTATATTTTTGTTCTTGTAAATGCTTTTAAAAATCTATTGCTAATTGATTAGAATAACTGAGTTAAACTCAGAGCTTTTGTTCTCAGCCTGCACTTGGCTTGAACTTTTCCAATTGTTTCAGTTCTGAAAAAGGGCTTAGGTGCCCCAAAGCTTTTCCGGTGTTTTTTCTTGGTTTGGTTTTGGTTTTTCCCCCCCTGTTAAATCAGGTGATCTGTAAGAAAGAGTGTGTGAGGGGAGGGAGTCAGCTGGGAAGGCACAGACCGCACCAGCAGGGATGGAACATCTCCAAAGAAAGGCACTGTAGGAGTGGAACCACAGCCCTTAGTAGAGAACATCCTCAAAGCCGAGCAGCAGAAAACGGTGCAAGGCACTTGGCAGGCGCAGCTGAGGCAGGACCTGAAGCAACCGGCCCTCCAGGAAGGTCCTGAGCGTGCAGCGGGCCAAGTGCTGCAAGGAGCGAGGTCTCTGCTCCAGGGAGAAGAGCGACTGGTAGAAACGTGGGTATTTCTACAGAGATAAGAGAGGACAAGAGGCAGATAAAGCTGAAGAAATCACCCTGGGAGAAGAGGTAAAAGCAGACAACCCTATAATTGAATCACTACAGTGCATCCTTCCTGTCCCCCAACAGCACCCTAAGCCTCGCAAATCTCTCCCCAGCCCTTCCCTAAACCCCCCTCAGCCCCAAGCCTCCCCCGGCACCCTGCCGTGCTAGCCTGGCTGCAGGTTCTCCAGCCACCAGTGCATATTCCCTCACCTGTACAACCTCTGCTGGAACTGCCTCCACCCAGTCCTCGGAGACCCGCACGTGATCGTAGCTGTTCATCAGGGCCTCAATGACACGCGGGCAGGGATGGCAGTACCGCAGCACCTGCGCTGGGAGAGACAACAAGCTTTGGGCAAGGTCCTGTAAGCCCCTCTTTCACCTCCTGAGAAGCTACACATGCTCAAAACCAGCCCTGGTAAATCTAAAAAATGAATGTCTTTCCCTTCTGCTGTCCCCAGAGATCAAACCCAGCAATGGTGGGAAGTGCCAGAGGGTGACACACACAGCAGGGCTGTGTTCAGCACAACAGGGTCCCCGCAGTTCCTCCTCAGACACAGGGACTAACTCACATGGCTGGGGTGCAGATCTCTTTCATCTGCCTCACAGCTGCAAGAGGCTCATAAGCAACCAACACTGCTTTAAGCCAGCCTCCTTTCCTCATGCTTTTCTAGGTAGAGCATGAGTTGTTGTGGAGCAAGGACTGACACCCATTTGGTGTGCACCAAAGCTAAGGCACATCAGGCCTCTGCTGAGGGCCATGCGGGGATCCCAGCGATTTATCATGCCCGTTCAGCATGGGGCTGCAGAGACACTGGTATCTGAGTGGTATGCGATGGGCATCCTAGGGAGTACTGCGCCCATATTAGCTGCTACAGAGAGCCCCAGCAATCATAGAATCCTGTAGGTTGAAAAAGACCTGTAAGATCATTAAGTCCAACCATTAACCCAAGTCCACCCCTAACCCATGTCCTTCAGCACCACATCTAAGGTCTTTTAAATACCTCCAAGGGATGGTGACGTAACTGCTTCCCTGGGCAAGGGAAGGCACCATACATATACATTCCCTGGGAATACATACATGTGTTCATTCCCTGGGAAGACATCATCTGTATTTCATGCCACACATCTCTGGAGAGTGCCATGCCCATGTAGGTGCACATGACATAGGGGTGCCATGTATCTTGCACACCAGTGTGGCCTTTGGATCACACCCCACAACACAGAGCTGCTCAGAGGCAGATCCCCCAGCTCTTGGCTCCCACTCCCCATGGCCCGGGCCAGCAGTAGCTGTCAGAGCCTATTCCGGCTGTACGAGTGATCCTCATTATCTGGCGTTAATAGGAGATTAATTAGTGTTAATTGTTGATTTTCCTGTATTTTCCCAAAGGGGAGAGCAATCTGCTGATCTCCGGGCTGGGTAATTATTGCACTGCTCAGGAATTAAGACAGGAAATTAACCCTTTGTTGGCTGGCGTCTTGCAGAGACAGCATGAGCTGGAGGGTATGTCCCAAAGAGGAAACACATCCCCTGAGAGGAAAAGGGCCAACACTTTCCAGGGCAAGCAATTATAGAAACTAGGCAAGTACCGTCCCCACAGCTTAGCAAAGAGAAGCAGGCGAGTCCTACCAGAGAACATACCCCAGGAGAAGACTTCAGGGACTCCCTGACCAGTAATGCCAGCTCCCTTTCCCCAGCCCTGGGAGGAGACAGGCAGGACAGCAAGTGGCTGGCATGGAACAAGCCCTGCTGTGACAGGAACATCCTCACTCTCACTGGGGCCCTGATGTTCACTGCCTTCCCTTCCCACCACACCGCCAGCACAGCCCTGGGCCCCGCACCTTGAGGAGGGAGCCAGGCCAGACACGGACAGCACCGTGATTGAGCAGAGCTTGCACCACGAGCTCTGGATGGTGCTCCAGCTTGTAGGCAGCTGCTTGCAGGATATTGTGCAGTGCTGTGTTGCCGCTGTAGTTCATGACATTGACATTTGCACCCCGTACCAGCAGTAACTCTGCTATTTGAGCATTGGCGTTCTTGCAGGCCAGGTGAAGTGGGTGCTGGCGGTCCCTGTCTGCAGCATCAACGCTGGCACCGCTCTCCACCAGCAGCAGGCAGACCCGGTAGTAGCGGTCCATGTCCTGGGGCTGATGGGGCTGAGCACAGCCAGCATTCAGTGGCGTTTGCCCCTCCTTATTCCTTGCCTCCAGCTCTGCCCCATAGCGCAGCAGCAGCCGGACATGGTCTGTCAGGCCATGGCGTGCTGCTATGTGCAGTGCTGTATCGTCTTCCTCCTCTGTTCGACTGTTCACACTGGCACCATGCTGCAGCAGCTGCTGGGCACACCTGTGTGGGGCAAGATGACTCAGTGACAGGCTCTCCAGCTCCTATCCTGCACACAACCCCCCCACACCCCATGTCTGTTCATCCCACAGCTTTCACTTTTCCCAGAGTCCATAAATCCTTGCCCTTCGCACCCCAGAGCAGTGGTTTTAAGTCAGGATGACTGGTGAGCAGAGATACTGTCATCCTAATTCCAGCTAATTCTCCACAGATGCTTAATAAACAGAACCTGCTCCCACACCCCCACGGAGGCCTGTCTACACTGTGCATGCCTTGAGCTTCGCAGTGTGAACCACGGGCCGGGCATCGGTGGTGGGCAGTGAGACAACAGCACCACACTCAGACACACCAGCTGAGGACTAAAGCTTACAGTCAACCCTTGGGCTTCAGAGGTGACCCTGGTCCAGGAGCAGGCAGTAAGGCCACCCCACTCAGCAGCCGTTGCTGCAAGACGGCCGCCCACCTGCAGGGATGAGCCGGGACCCCTCCTGGACTGGATAAGGCTCAATGGGGAGGGATCCCACTGTGCCCTCTGTGCTGCAACTCACTCGATGGAGTCCAGGCTCTTGCAGAGATGCAGGGGCTTGTAGCCATCCTCAGAGACAGCCTCGGGGTTGGCACCAAAGCTGAGCAGCAGCCGCACGCAGTCCGTACTTGCAGCCGCACAAGCCTCGTGCAGGGCAGTCTTGCCCCCCGGTGCGAAGTCGACAGCAGCCCCCCGGAGCAGCAGGAGCCGCAGGCAGTCGGTGTAGCCCCGGCTGGCTGTGATGTGCAGCGGTGTGGTGAGCTCCTGCTCGTAGCTCAGAGACCACAGCCCTGCAGGGAAAGAGAGGTCAGGGAGCCACATCCAGCCGTGGTGCACAAAAGCATCCAGTCCTTCCCCTTCCCCCCACGTACCTGATGTACACCCCGCCTTGAGGGACCCAGGTGTCCCCTCAGGGGACTGCCTCTTCCTGCCAGTCCCTGCTTGGACTGGCCTGCCCAAGGCAAAGCTTTGGGGATTTGCTCTCAGGCTGCACAGCCATGCTGTCACAGAACTCAGAGGAGCAGGAGCCTTGGGGAAGAGGCTGTTCCCAGAAATTGTGTTTTACCCCCTCCAGCTCAGCCGTGCAGCATGGGGTTTCTGTAGACAGGAGGACAGCGGATGGAGGGGCACAGGCATAGGCAGGACTGACAGCAGCAAGGTGGCTGGGAAGAGCCCCATGCACAAAGCACCACAGTAAAATAAAGAGGTGCTGGAGGAGGCTGCTGTGCACACAGTAGATTCAGACAAGCCCTGAGCATGGTGCAGGCAAGCATCCTCAGCAGAGATGGACATGTAGGGCCTAGGAGAGAGCAAGCGGTTGAAACTTGCCAACTCTCAAGGATGTGGACCCAGCAGAAACCACTGCTGATCTGATGCTGTCTGCTGGCAAACAGAGTAAGGGCTCCTGAAATCATTCTTGCTGCCCGTCCAGGCTGGGCTGGAGGACCACATCCCAGATTGCACAATGCATTCAATATTCCATCCCTCTCACCCCTTTCTTGCAGAAGCAGCACACAGCCAACTGTGTTTCCCAGGGCCAGGTTCAAACTGAATGCTCTCAAGGACCTAATGCAGGGCTGTGGCAATTTCTTGCCCAGCAGAAGCCACAGAAGGAACCAGCAGCCCCACACAGCCAGAGCAGGCTCACAGAGCCAAGCTGCAGGGCTTGTGACAGAGGGAGCATAACCTGGAGGCTGATTCTCCTCTGCTCCGTGGGGGAACCCGGGCAGTTTCCAAGCACTTGCACAACCCCTGCTCAAAGGGCCGGGTACTGACACCCCTCAGGTCCCCAGAAACACACCCACAGGGGAACCCGACCAGATCCCAGTGCTCTCGCTCCTCTAACCCAAGCAGCACCCACAGCACACAATTCCAGCAATAGCAGTGCCCCGAGGCACAAGCAAAAGGCTCCAAGCCCCTGTTCAGGTGGGCCATGGTGCCTTCCTGCCTCCCCCTGCATACTCAGCCGGCGGAAGTTGAAGCGGTAGTTTTTCCACTCCTCCAGGTCACTTGTGTCAAACACAGCATTGGGACTCAGGTTGTTCTGATGGTCACTGAGGATCTCGGCCACAACTCCCTGATCCCCAGCCAGCAGGGCCTGCCAGTAGACCTGGGCAGGACCCTCCACCTTCCGTGTGCAAATGGGCTCGCAACTCTCATCTCCTCTGTCCACGACGCTACCCATGGCGCAGCACCCAGAGCCTCAGCAGAAGCCAGGGCAGGACCCACTGCTGCCCCACTGGGCAGGGTCCGAGCCTGTGGATACAGCCTCGCCAGTGCCCCGTGCTCCAGCCGCCCGCAGGGAGGGAGGACATGTCACATCGCTGCTTGGCCCAGGCTGGGGACAGCTCAGGTCTCAGCTGCTCTATTCTGGGGAACCTCGTGACCAAGAGTTTGGGCCAAGAGGCTGATAAGGACAGTCTTCTCGGGCAGCAGTATCTTTACAGTCACTGACTGCAAAGGGAAGGCCCCCAGACAGGGCAAAAGAGTAGCCTGAAGGGTAGAAATGGAGACAGGACACCACTAAGGAATAGGGGGATGTAGTCTCATGCCCGACTTGCTGCTGTCATCCAGCTGCTGCCCAGACCAACACAGCACAGCACAGCTGCCTCCATACACCTTCGTCCCACTCTCATCTCCTTGCACATCTCCAGCACTGAATCTCCCTTTGCTAGTGCCACCCGAGCCCTTGGCACTAAACAGGTTTTAAAAAGCCACAAGAAAGTTCTTTTTAATCAAAGCTTAAAGCTAAAAGGCTGGTAGAAGGGGAGAGCATCTGTGATTCATTTCAGTGGCCAGTCCAGCCCAAACCATGACAGAAACAGCACATTACAAACAAAGTAAAAACATGGAAGGTTAATTATCCTTTAGACCCCTTCCTACTGTTCCTTGAAATTCAGCCTCACTGAGAGCTCCTGCATGGTTCTAGTACTGCCCTTCCACCCTCTGAGAGTCCCCTCACGGTGGGTTCCTCACTGCTGTCCTTTCACCTGAGATTACATTTTCCCCTGTCCTGGCTTAGTTGTGTAAACCCACCCTGCCCCTACTTTGGTTACAGAACAGCACCCTGAGCTCATCAGCATTACGTGTGTTTTGTTCAGACCTTATGTTCTAAACATCACATCAAACTGCATGGAAGACTAGTAGTGTTTAGTTGCACATTGTGGAGTTATTCAGATCATGCATCTGAAAACAAGTTAAGTGACCTCAATAGAACACCAAGCCACAATTACCTGGGGTACCAGAGAAGAGTGTAAGATAGGGAACTTTACCCTTCTCAGTAATGAAAATAAATGACCAAGTTCTGTACTGACAGTCTCCAGCATCCTCTGTCTGTGCAGACTCTACCACCTTGTCAAGCTAAAAATGTAGTGCATGAAAGGGTAAAGAGAGGGAAGCACCCATCAGACTTTCTCACTTAATGCAATCCTCTGTTTTCCCAAAGGTATGTGCAGGTATCCCAGGAGAGCCTGGGATTCCCCCATCACAAAAGCATCGCCAGGGGGGCAAAAGGCTGTGTGAGACAGTATCAGTAACACCATACAATTTACACTTCCTCTGGGCTTCTTCAAATATCAACAGGGATGACCTGGGAAAGACCAGGTCACTAGAGTCTACTTTTAAGGGTGCTGGCTGTGAATGTAAAAAACTGCTGCTGCAGGCCAGTGAGATATGTAACCAAGCCATAAGTTAGCACGAAAGTTTGCTTTTTGTTTTTGTTCCATATCTTTATATGATAAATATTGCAGTACACTTTTTGGTCCATGCTTGATGAATGATCCTATTTGTTCAGGTTTTTCACATCTTGAAACTTTGGTGATAAGAGCAATGTCTGCATGAAGTTACTTTGAATCAGCAGTTCTGTTTTCTTTGGGGCACACATCTTTACAAGCAGACTGACCTGCTGTTCAAGTGTCTGCCAGTCCAGTGTAAGACGGGAGTTAAAATGTGCAATTAATATTTTCTGACAAGTAGTCTCAGGTACACAAAGGATAATACCTTTTGTATTTTTATTCCTAAGTGGACTGTAACAGTTCAAAACCTGAATCGCATAAATCTTAGACGTCAGGAAATAAACTTCACCAACCACAAGCAGCAACACTTGCACCTGCAAGCCCATTCTATCTATGTCTCTTGCTGGCATAGATCCCCACAAAACGCTCAGCTATGGTCAAGCTTTATTGGTGTGCTTCCTAACTCTGTGCTAGGACACTTGAAAAGAACCCACACCTCTGGGAAAGCGGCCTTCATCAACAGCTCTTCTGTTCTGGCACAGGGGGGCTTTTGCCACCAACCTTCTCTGGAAAAGGCTGTTGCAATTATGGGCCCCCCAAACCTGTCCTAAATTCTGGGAGTCTGCCTGCATCACACCACTACCAGACAGCAGTGAGGACACGTGCACTTCCAGACAGCTAAGGACACCTCTCCCTTTAACACACCAGCCATGCTGCTTACTGAAGAGTTCACAGGTGACACGGGCAAGAAGGTAAGCAAAAGGGACCATAGAGCGTGGGAGCATCTGCGGTAGCCAAAAGATGTATCTAGGCAAGGTACAGCGAGGTGCACAGATGGAAGGAAACAACAAGGATGAGCAGCTGAGTGTCCCTGTCACTCAGGACAACCTTGCTTCCACCACCTCTCCAGGACTAGATTTCTGGTCCCCTTGCCCAATCCATCTTATAGAGTAGAAGAGCTTGCAGGGTGCAAACCCCACATGTGAAAATGCAAAACAGCAAAAGCTGGAGCAAAGCCCCTCTCTCCAGCTGATCACTGTTTATCCTCCCACACCAACCTCCTGCAGCTTCTCCAAGTCAGTATCTGCAGCAGAGATCACAATGGCTTCATTTCACACCTGAATTTCACTACAGCAGAAGGATTAGGTAGACACAGAGTAAGTGTGGCTTGGTCCCCAAGTAGCTGCCTACAAGTGCCTCTTCCTCAGGACACAGGCTAAGCTCTGCTCAAGGGGCACCAGCAAGACCTCTCTGCTCTTCCCAAAGCATGACACAGCTTCTAATGAAATGAAGCAAGAGACCCTGCTTAAGACGTAAGGCAGGAAAACCATCCTTATGCCACCTCATGCGTTCTCATCCAAACCTCACCTCCTCCTCACACGTATTTCACATCTAACCCAGCAACCTCTAACAGGACAGTCCAGATGTTGTTCCTTTCCAGCAGCCCTTCCAAGGGCCTATTCTCACCATTTCCCAGTAGATCCATCTTTGGCCACCTTCAACAAGCCTCCTACCATTTGGTCTACAGCCCTGGAGTCCTCTTTCCTCATCCCAAAGCCTTTTTTCCCCCAAGTCCTTCTTCCACTACCCTGTACCCACCACTGGGGATTCCTGTCAACGCTTATCTCAGGTGTCTATGCTCTTTTTCTGGTCCCCACCCTGGGCACTTCCCATCCTGCCCATGTCCCAGCCTTGAACACCCACCAAATTTCCTGCTAGTCCAGCGCAGCTCATCACCCCTGGTCTCAATGATGAGATTGATGGCTGCACCCCTGGTGAAGTACTTCTGCACCATCTCCAGGTCCCCAGTGAAGAGGGCATTCTGGACCAGCAGGTCCCGGCACTCCAGTGGCTCTAAGCGGCTGTTCTGGCATCCCTGGACAACCGGGCTCAGCCTGTGCTCACTGTAGCGGTACTGGGACCTTCTATGCCGAGCATGCTTCCACCGATCCTGCTGCTCCTCATCCAGCTGCAGCAAGTGTTGTGTGGCAGAGCTGAAGGGAAAGGTGCAGTCCATCACAGGGAACAAAGAGGACAAGTCTGAACCTTACAGTAAACAAGCTGCTGCAGGCAAGCATAAAGGCTATGTCCTTTGCTGGTTGCTCCTGGGTTCCAGCTCCCCGGTATCTGGCTGGATTCAGGCACAGGCCTGACTCACTGAGTATAAATAGTCCTGCTTGGCAGCCCCCATTCACCACCTCCCTTCCTTCCAAGAGCTTATTTTCAGCTGCTGGATGCAATCCCCAGCACGGATTAGGCACAGAAGAGGGGTAGCAGGCAGCCTGGAAACATTCTCCACATGCTTGCTGGTTTGCTCTGCAGAGTCTCTGCCCTGCACCATGCTCCCACTTGGAAAGAAGTGGAACAAGGTGGGGAAAATCACAGTGGAGGGGTATGGAAAGGCCTGCAGCAGACATGGTGTCAGAAGTCACAAGGGACTGAGTACAGAGGTCTCCTCCACAGGGACCAGAACACTCCTCAAGCCTCACACTCTGCTCTTGGGAACCAGCATCTTCAGCAGGGCAGCGAGACAGGCTGCCCAGACAAGGCTGAGCAGGACAAAGAAGGGCATGTGAGTGAGCCCTGGGAATAACAGCTTGTGTGACATCAACTAAGTTTCCTGGCAGTAAGGAAGACTCTCCCACGCAAATCTTGAGAGGCTGGCAAGCATCTTCAAGCTTGAGGCATGGATGCATTCTGATGGCACCAGCTGTGCCATCCACCCCTCCAGCCACAGCAGGTCACATCTGGAGAAGTGAAAGACGATGAAGCTCCCTGCCCTGCCCCAATTATCACAGCTCACTCTGAAGGACAGAGTGGATCCCAATAGTTAGGATGCTGTGCTAGCTTGGCATAGGTTTGGGACCTGTTAAACTTCATGTACCTTCAAATGACTCGCCTGTAACTAACCTGGTAATCACTGTGTCCCTGCCACCATGAGAACCTTCCAGCTGGGCAGGCTGTGAGTGTCAGCAACAGAGACTCCTTACCTGCTGTGGGAATTTCAGCCAGTACTTTTCTGCCCAGTCCTATAACTGAGAGCGTCTGGGGTCACTGGGGTGATGCAGGAGACACCTGCAAGAGTGACTGAGGGCTAAGGGGGGTGGCTCAGACAACATACCTCTACCTAGAGCTGCTATACTGACCCACTGACTTTCTCCTGGACCATGCTGTCCCACTGGAAAACAAGGTTCTGTTAAGAGCCATCACCTTGGCCCACCTGACTTGTCTCCTGGACTGCACCATCTATCCTGCAAAACAGGCTAGTTGTGGCACTTGTTGATATTTGTTAATATCAAATATATAGGTGACTAGAAGGTTTTTGGGGTGAGGTTTTTTCCTTTGGTTTTGGGGCTGCTTTTCTGAGGGAGGGGTTGTTGTTGGGTTGCTTGTGGTTTGGGGTTTTTTTTGTTTCTTTGTTTGGTGGGAGTTGTTTGCATTTTGTTAAATCTGAAGTCCATTTAGTATTTACCCTGTCAACTTAGAACTCTATCACAGCTTGGAACCTTCTGGTGTCCCCGCAGGTGCTGATCAGACAGGGAGCTTGGCTTTGCTTGTGTTCCTTCTAGTGGCTGTTTCCAGTGCAGAGAAGAACAATGCAAGAACTGGGAAGCCCAAAGAGGACCATGCACCAGTCCCAGGCCTGCTGGCTGCCTTCCCCGAGCTGCCAGACACACTCTCCATTGCCCCTGCACAGAGACTCCATGCCCATGAGCAGCTTGCAGCACGTCACCAGTGCAGCACTGGGGTCATGGGCACATCCCCATCCAAAGGCCAGCACCCAACTGCCATTGCCATGCCCCTTGCTCATGTTGCTGCAAATGACACCAGGCCTGCCTTATCAAGAAAATTTCTCCCTTGTGCCAAGGAGAAGCAGCCATGGTGAGGAGGAAACATTAGGAGCATCAGAAAGAGGTTGTGCGGGGAGTGAGCAGCATGCGTGTAAACGAGCCTGTAACGAGTTTGTAATATGCATGTGTGGCACGGCCTGCGCAGCGTCATCACAATGGCACAGGCACTTTCCCGCCTCATTGCCTCCCAAATGGATTTTAAATATCATTCCGAGGACACAATTATTTAAAACGCTGAACTAAACACTCGCTAATGGGAAAACGGCGTGTGGCCTGCAGCAGCCATTCCTCATGGGGCCACTCTGCCCATGTCATCTTCTTCTCCAGCCCCATACCCTGCATGGGGCCACATGGAAGTATTGTCCTCCTACCTGGAGACCTTGCAGGGTACCACCAGGTAGCTGTCCTAAGCCCAGACCAATACATATTGCTTAGGACTTTTTGTTCCCATTCCATTTATGTCCTCAGGCCCCAGAGAGGCACTCTGCCCTGTCCCAAGCTTCTCCATACCAGGAAACCAGTGAGTTGGTCAGTCCCTGGCTGCAGCTCCAGGAACCAGGAAGCACCTCACAGACAGCTAGCCTTTAAGGCTCTCCCACATCTGGCAGCAGGCAATAGAGGGTTATACAAGCAGAGGACATTAGAACAAGGATGCCTTCTGACCTCTGTTATTATATGGCCCTAGAAATTACAGATATCAAATAAGACTTTTAATTAACCTGTAAATACCTCCTCGACTCCCACTGCAGTATTCTGAGAAGAGAGGAAGGAAACATCATTATTGTTGGCTACATCCAGGACTCCAGAGCAAACAGAGTATGAAGAAAGAGAACAAACAAGGAAACAAACTATTTGCAACAATCCTTGCTGGGAAAAAACATGGAGAACAGCTCCAAGGACACGACAGACCCTTAGTTCCATTTCAGTGCTGGCAGCATCAGGGATAACAGAGCCTCAGAGAGCAACGTGCATGTTCCTGGGGGAATGTCTCTCTGACCTTTGGTCACCACTCATCTCCTGTTCTCCAGGCAAGGATTCTGGGCCTCCACAAGTTATGGACTCAGAATTACCATTACTCACACAGAACAGCCTACCTCAGGCCAAACCAGAAGAGTGAAGGGACATAGACCAGCACTGTCCCCATGCACTAGCAGCTGAGCACACAGAGGATGAGAGTTTCTTGCTGGAACCCTGGCTGCACTTCAGAGGTTCATATCTTAACAGCTTTGGCATCACCAGAGCTATCCATCACAGCTCATTTTCCTCTGAGTGCTGAGCCATTCCTGCCTGTGCTATTTGGAACAGTGTCTAATGATGCACCAGAGCAGCCACCTGGCAGCACTGCTGCCAAGGGACACAACAGCATGGGAAAAGAAATGCACACAGGGCTGCACACTGGTATCAGCCCCCACTGCCCAAAAACCTCCCTCCTCTCAAACCTGCACCACTTATCATAGACCGGAGAGATGTTCTGCCTCATGGTCCCCCAGCCCTTGAGAGAAAAGAACACATACTCTTAAGTAATTGCTCTCTTACAAAAAGGAAACTGGAGAACATAGGCATTACTGATATTTTGTGAACACTTGCATTCAGTTTGTCACACTATAGTGTTCCTTTTGAGGGGTTTGAAGAATGGACCAAGGCAAAAAAAAAACAAAACCCAAACAAAACCGGTTGCTTCTAGCCTATGGGCATGTATAGCTTGGGAAGAACAGATCAGATGGGCATACACATGGAGCCAGGGACATCCAACACGACAGTGCTGCAACACTATGAACTCACTGGGAGACTTGCAAGGACACAAGACTCAAGCTAAGGCGGTCTCAGGACACCTCAGAAGAGTGTCTGCATGGGCTCCGAGTTAAGGTTTGCTCTTTACTGTGACCCAAGTGCTTCTGGCTCATTCTTGCAGTGACCAAGTTCTTGTGAATCCCTGCTGGTTAGCACAGCCTACTCCCTCCTCCCAAAGCAACTTCAGTCAGATCTCACCTGATCCACTAGAGCATCATGGCACAGACAGGGCATGGAGCCACAAGTCCAGTCTGGAAGAAGCTGAGTTGTGGAGCAGTCCTCACAAAAAGCTAATCCATGCTAAGCATGCAGAGCAATTCCTCAGAAAAAGACTGTGTTTGACATCCTGTGAAGGTGTATCAGGGCAGCTCCACGGGGAAACAAGCAGCATGACCCCTGGACAGTGAGAGATGAACCTGCCCCATATGGGAAATGCAAAAAAAAAAACAAAAAAAAGAAAATACATTCTGGGCAGGTTCAGTGCAGAAATCACCATTCCAAGAGCCACCATCTCTTTCTGCTTCTGAAACTTGGTGCATCTGCACTGCAGGCTGCCCTTCTAGATTTGTGAGGAAACAGATGTAGCAAGAGTGATATGAGGCCAGTCACCAACTCCATTCTTCTAGCCTTTTGGGGGGGGGTGAGGAGAGACATGAAGCAGGATGCACAAACTGCAGCATTGGAGACTCAAGCACCCGCACCACTACAGCTCCTCTTGGGCTCACTCAGCACTAGATGCTCTACCAGACATTTCCAGGAGACGGCAGCTCATCTCGCCATAAACTAGCACCTTACCCACACGACGGCCAATTATGTGCTAGGAAAGCCAGGGTACCACCGAGGGAAGCTGCATGACTCACAGGCAGCCTGCTTGGAGCTGGGCAGCACCGGGCTCCCGCCCGTACACCAGAGATGTATTTGACATCAGGCAGTCAGAGAGAACCACCCCCAGGGCAGATGCAGAACTGCAGTTCCAAGCTATTCACAAGCACTCTCCATCCCACAAAAAGTGTGGATGCACATCCTAGTGCTGCTGGAAAGGGGCAACAAGTATTTTCCATTTAATACTATGCTGCATCTTTGTTACACCCCAGTTACACCCTCCAACACCCCAATTGCTGCTTTCTCTGAATCAGGTTCCATTTTCAGCCCAACTCTGAGCTCCCTTCATCTACAGGTCCCAATTCTATAAGCATCTGGAAAGGTTTTAGAAAACTTAACATTTTGTCTTGGCCCCCACCTTCTTGAAACTAATTTGGCAGAAAACTTAACTTACAGGTTTTTTTTTTCCTTTGAAGTGTGACAAACACAGAAGTTTTCCATCTGCTCATCATGTTTATGATGAGGACAAGGCCTTAACAGCAACCAACTTCAGAGTCCAGTGGCTAGCTCACCCGCATTTGTTGTGAAGGGGCAGTACTACAGGAAATGCATTTGAGCTGCAAAGGGTTGTATTAGGAAACTGCAGAATATTTAGGTG